TCCGTTTTGACTTGTAGGATTAATATAGCCCTAAAATATGTCCAGTACATCCTTGGATTAGATCCCTTGTCAAACTTTATATAAATATCCTATTTGCTAACTAGAAACTCAATGAAAAGGCCTCCAGACCATAGACAAGAATCACAAAAGCTTTCAGGCACATAGTGTTATTTTACAATATCCCTACTATGCATGATAATTCACAGCATTCTGCAAAGGTTTTAGGTAGTACCTGTTTAGTTTAAAGTTACAAAGCACTTTTGCAAATTCCATGCAAAATTGTGCAGTATAATGCATGCATGGAGAAGGAAAGATTTGTTGTTTCTGAAATAAAAGTATTTTAAGCTCTTTCAACTTTAATTCAAACAAGCATGCAGCAGTTTCAAATAGGAAGATTGCAGTAGAATATTCAAACAAATTCACTAAACAGAACAGTCTACCACATAATGTCAAATGCATGAGGTGGAAGAACCGCTGCCTGGAGGAGTATAACTATGGTAGTTTACACAATGGCGCTACGTGAAGTGAAAATTTTGTGCAGGCCACTGAAGTTTTGGTAGTGAGATTTATAGAGTACTACAATGATTATGGATTAGCTTGGAATGTGATGGGGGAACCATAGCACAGTTTTTCATGTACAAGGCAATTCTGCATATCAAAACTAAATACTGTTTTGTTCTATGGTTCAAAATACTGCCTAGTAATTACTTGCTATTTCAATAACATTATGCTACAAATTTAAAGGGTATCTACCACTAACCAAATGTCAATACACCTGAATTCATTGAAACCTAAATTCAATTTACATAATAACTATTATCCTGGGTCCTATCAGTGATATGATATTTATGAACTCACAAGTCACAACTTCAAAACATATTTTCATCAATTGATTTAAAGGATCAAGAAGTTAAACATAGTAAATACCATCTTGAGCTTTCGCAACTCTTGCCGAGCAACTTTTCCTCTCCATGCACATTGTGTTGCAATTGCTGCTTTCTTTAATTCTGTGAAATGAAGTTGTGCCAAGTATTTCTGGCAGTGGCTCTACAATAAACAAAATCATCAGTGTTGGAATAACATACTATTTGAAACCAAAGTAAAAATTCAAAGCCAAGCTCAGCACAATGATATTGCGTTAGAATGCATGAGCAGGAATGGTAAAAATGTTCAAAATATCTTATGATCAAAATACCTGAATGACAATTGTTGCTTTAGTCCTCCTTCTAAAGTATAGCTCACAACGAGCAGCCATCCCCCGCATACCAGTCTGGATAGAGACGGCAGTAGTATACAAATCTTTGTAAGCCTTCCTACAAATATACATTCGAAAGTCTCTCTGTATCACCAAACTAGAAGCTTCCTGCCGCATTCCCTCATATATTTGCCGAGCAAGTTGTCCTGCAGTTAGTACAAAGAAAGTCATCAGATTTCAACAAGTCCAAATTTCTTCCCAAATCCAACCTGTGGGCTAATATTTCAAGAAGCAATGAGCAGATACCTCTGCATGCAGCTTGAATCCTCACAGCTGACATACGAAGCAACATGAAACTTCGGCGTGCCAAATATGAATGAATTTTTCTCTGAATAATGCTTGCTGACCTTCCTAAGATTTCACTTCTACGGGTATCTAGTTCTGCCATCTGACCAGCTCGAAGAAACACCTTTGTCTTACCAATCTGTGCCAATAAACAGAACAAAAAACGTTAGGAAAAGACAATACAAGCCTTGTATCACCAATATGCAATTATCTAACGCAATGGTGCATATCATTACAGTGAGTGCAGATGAGCATTATTAGCAATTCATGTTTGGTATATACTTTACAAACACATGAAATTGAGATCATTTCTAAACCTAAACTACAGTATCCAACTATACAGGCGGTATAATGGTAGTAGACGTGAATCATGCAAGGAGACGAGAAAAGGAAGCATTGCCACTTCTCCCAGTAGAAAGAAAAAGCGTCCCAAAGGATAAAAGATTCTATCACATAAAAATAGTTACCTGATAGCCTTCTAGTCCAACATTCTTCAGAATCCTCTTGCAAGCAGTGACCTCATCAAAACTAACAGTAAAAATATAAAAAAGGTAAGCACTTCAGAATAATGACTAATAAGAAGGATGGACGATTAAGATACCTTCCATTCAATGCTTGAGGTGCAAGAAGGCTAAATCGATCCACAAATTCATCAAAGGTTTTTCTAGTAGGATATCCAGCACAGCTTATCCTAATTGCCTCCATAACTCCCTACAACCAGACAAACTATGTTAATAAGCATAAACTCGCATAATATCAGGTTGAACTTCCATTACAGAACAAAATATATAGTAAAAGAAAAATGATAAAATATACTAGTAGCCTTACCCCACAACGTAGCTGCAGCAAAACATTTTTATTTTCAAAAATTGCTGGCTTGAGAAGATTATTGGGCTTTACACAACGAATGTAGTGTGGCTCAGTGGAACTGAGAGTTTCAAGTAAAGCTTGCAATTGTTGCTGTAGGAAATATGATGAAGAGTTGTCACAAACACATAGTTAGGCAAGAAAGACAAAAGAGTTGGTCTCCAAATAAACCAACCTTAAATCGTGAGCCAATGGAAGAGAACTTTGATTGTTTTGAAGATTCCTCGGGAGAAGGAGGAAATAAACCTGATACAAAGGGGCATTTTGAAGCATAAAGAAGTGCCTGGTGCTCTGCAACAACATAATCTTTGTTCTTGTCGAGGAAAAATTCAGTTTGATAAGTGACCTACAAATGACACGGATTAAATTACATGCAGATTTCCGGACATGTACTTCTGCTATAAATGTATCCTATTTATTTACCAATTATATCTGGAAGAAAAAGTAACAATTTCCCCAACTTACATCTCCAGCATAATGGCAAATTGAAAAGTCACTACGTGATAATTTGGGCTTGCAAAACCTTTTATGGTTTTTGAAGGTCTGGTAAAGCTTTTGGGCAAAAGTTTCATGTGTAGATCTAGGAAACATACTGCAAAGAACAAAAACACAGTTATCAGAGCATCAATATAATAGTCCATAGAATATGTTCGCTATCAGTATAAAATATACCAAGCTTCATCCAGAAGAGCGATAATGCCACCAGGTTTCTGAAAATGAATACGAGATCATTAAAGAGTCAAAATAAATTTCTATTGTAAATAATAAGTTTACAAATGGCAAACTGCACAAAGACAACTATGATATTGCTGTGCTAACAGAAATAATGGCAAAATAATACATTGATAATGTACATGATATTTTTCTATTTAAGGGAAGGGATTTGTGTGCACTCAACCAGCAATTATCATTTCAAGGTCATCGTCAGATATACCTTTTTTTAATTCATTAAAAAATTCAACCTAGTAGCTAAACAAACAGAAGAATCACAACTTCAATGTTTTCATTCATTTAAACCCATAAACAAAATAGATTGTCCCTTTTCATGTCTCTAATTTGCTTTCAGGGTAAATTTTCAAGCTACTTCTTTTCAAGTCAACTGATTTTCAAACATTTCCCTCATTTAGTGCTTCTTTCTTTTGTAACCTTGATTTGTATGTCTACTCACCGATGCAATATTTTAATCTCCACAACAATTAGATTATGCTCCACAAACATATTAGTTAGGTGTGCAACAGTTTGGACACCAGCCTTTAAGACTTGCAGCATTATGTATAATAATATTGTTTTAACAAGGGAAGAATGCTATTGCATCACTATACAAGTCGCAAACTAATTAGGTTAGCTTTACAACTTGTATCAATCATATTAGGTTAGCTATACAAGAATGCTATTGCATTATGTATAATAATAATAATAATTAGGTTTTTTTCTAAAATTGAGTGTACTGTTTAGGGACACTTCAATCAATAACACCGCCTAAATCATTTCATCCACTCAAATTGACTCCTGAGGTTTATGTCTCTCATTTTTATGCCACTTTGAATGATAGATCTGAGGAAACTAAATCGAGCAACCTATGTTATGTTACGATACTTTATTTTCACTTAAGCTAGTACTAGAGTATACTTTACTGAACTGATATTTGATGTTATTCAATTTAACTACTGTTTAGAATGAAGCAAACAATTTAGCAACAGAAACATCAAAGACACTTTCCAGGCAAAAACTCAAGATGCTTCAACAAATGAAAATGCACTACTGCATCATCTTTCCATAAGCCAATTTTAGCAATTACATCTCTGCTCACAACCACATTTAATATATAATTTTTAAAAGAAATGAATATATCTTGTACAAAAGCAAGCATCCTTCACGAGACTAAGCCAATCAACAAAAGGATTGCAGAGTTAGAAGGGGAACCTTTTCAATGAGATCCAGAATATCTTGGTTATCCACAAATTCAATGTAACTCCAATCAATTTCTTCCTTTTTGTATTCTTCCTGTTCCATTTTGAAAACATGCTGCATACAAATATATTTGGGCATTACATGAGCATGATAAGTAAATTAAAAGAGAGAGAGAGAGAGAGAGAGAGAGAGAGAGAGACTATTGTCTGTTTTAAGTATACAAGCAAAAGATAGCCACAATTATAAAGAAGATAATATCCTTTCCAATAACAAACCTGATTAAAATGTTGCTGAAGCTTTTCATTGGTCAAATTAATACAAAATTGCTCAAAACTGCAAATACAAATAACAACCAGGCATAACATACAAAATCAGCATCTTTACAGTAAAAAAAGGTAGAACTACAGCTTATGTCTATAAGAAAAGAAGACACAAAGGAATGACCTTACATCAAAATGTAGTTTAATATCAAACCAAAATAACAAATGGATATATCACAAGCCTTCTTGGTACATACCAAGTTTATAATGAGCTAAGGATGTACTAAATGATATGACAAATTCAATCTAGCATCTCATAATATGACAACTAGTTAGTGGAGGAGGCCATCATTGACTCCCAAATAATCTATAAGTTTCTTGTTGCAATTGCAAGTGTTCACATGAAGACTCACCCATGTTAATTACACAACAAAAGGTGTGCCAGTTACAAACCTGTTAGTCTTGAAACTCTCAAAGCCATAAATATCCAGCACACCAATTAAGGATTTTGATTCAGGGTCTTGACCAATAGAATTATTAATTTTATCAACCAACCTACAAAATCAAGACAGAAAATTAAAGAAACAGAGATTAACACTTGGAGCAAACTGGCCAAACTTGGTAACTGTAACCGAGGTTCAAAAAACATCTTTTTAAGCAATCTGCTACAGGCTTACCAGTCAAACAATCTTGAGTACACAATCTTTGCCAAGGCATCTCGGCTGAGCGCAGCAGCTTCTGGATCCAGCCATTTTGTAATTGTTTCGTCTCGAGTAACAATTACACGTTTGCAAAGAGAATCTTCAAGTGCTTTTGCATCACACCTAAATAAAAGTTATGAGCCAAGGTGGAAAAGATAAAATGCAAACCTAGAAACAATGCAAGCGCAAAATGCTTTCTCACATGAAAAGGTCAGCAGCAGTCTGTAGATGGAACCAAGATTTTTCATCTCTGGGCACAGATGAGTCTATCTCCTTCCCTTTCGCAAATTCGATGTTACCAAGATGTAAAATTGCAGCAACAACTTTAAAAATTGCATCCTAAAGAGAAATGGAGGAAAAGGAAAAACAAAGCATTGAATCAAAGGTCAAGCTTTAAGAAACTGAAAACATAAATAAAATCCCTACAAAATACCTGCTCCTCCGAACTTATTCCAACAATATCCATTGCTCTCCTTGTATCCCTATATTCTTTAGATTCATCAAGTCCCTCCAACTCAAAGCAATTTGATTGATTCAGATAATGAAACATTCTTGGATCTCCTAATTTGTACTTTTTAACATCCTGTCAAAAAAGAGGACCAAATAAAATTATATGTAAATAAAATAAAAGAGTTGAGCAAAAACTTACTAATAAGGAACTTCCAAAACATTTTTCCAATACAGATACATGTCTTACAACAACAAAAATCACAGCTGAGCATACATAACACAATGATTATGACTGGAAAGGAAATCAGCTCTTATTTTCTATTTATGTCCTCTAAGTCCATTTTAAGACAGTTTTTTCTAATGGTAAGTTACTTGCATTTATGATTCAATCCAGAAACAAATTAGTGTAAGCAAAGCAACACAGCTTCAGTACCTCTGGAGGTGCAGCACAGAGCATGTAGAAACAATGATAGTTCCTCTCTGGATCAGACACCTGGCAAACACGTGATCTTTCAAGCAGATAAGTCCTGATAGCAGCCCCTGAAATTCTTCCCCTCTGGTCAAATTGAATCTCCACAAACTTACCAAAACGACTGCAAAAGTCACAGATGAGAAAATTAAATAAGACAAGATAGCAAGATAATTGCAATATAACTACATAAGCAGAAAACTTACTATTATTCCCCACCTTGAATTATTGTTCCTAACAGTCTTCGCATTGCCAAAGGCTTCTAGTACAGGATTGGACTGCAAATCAATGAAGAAAGGGCAAAAATAAGGGTTAAATTGAATTGATAGAATTTAAGGTTTTGAGCAATTTAGTTGCAGAATCGACTTTGTAAATGTCACATTCTCTTACCTCCAGGACCTTTTGCTCAACAGTTCTACCTTCAGCAGCAGCTCTTCCACCCATGTAAGCAAGATACCTCATGAGTAACTTGGTACTTTCTGTTTTACCAGCTCCACTTTCACCACTAACCAATATTGACTGACTGATTCCCTCATTTATCATAAGCCTAAATAAATACACAATAATTTGTGTAGTCAGACTCCTAAACTAATAACACAATCCTTCTGAAGGACAGATATGAAATCTACCTGTATGCTGCATCTGCAACAGCAAAGGGATGTGGACTTAGCTCGCCAAAAGCTGCTCCTTTATATTGGGCCATCATGTGGCTATCATATAAATGAGGGAGCTTGATGAAAGGGTTCACAGCAATCAATATATTCCCAGTGTAAGTCTGGAAACAAAATATTAGTCAGCACTTATCGATACAGTATGAACCTATTTAGATACTAACAAGTGCAAAATAAAGGGAACCATTCCCCCCATGCAACAGACAAACTTTGAAGTGTTGGAAACTGTAATGCATACATAAATTTCATTTATATCATATCTTGATCTCAGATTATCTAGGACTCCAGGTTCATGCAGGTATGCAAGCTTTGTCATATCATCCACTCCACTTGGTGGGACTTCGGTATCTTTATGATAAATGCTGGAAGCTTTAACAACAACCTGAAAATTTCAAGACAAACAAAAGAAGGGAAAAAATTACATATTTTAAACATTTGAGAATTACAAATTTAGCGTTAAATTAAAAATGTATATCTAATATACATAATAAAAGTGGCATCCTGCAAGACAAGAGCAGACAGTTTAAAATGTTCGATAAGACACATATCTTCATTACACTATGCTTCAAACATTCCCACCTGTTATTCATGTTTAAGAAATCAAAGCACTCAAAGTAAAATCGGTAAGTTGCAAAGAACACGAAAATGAATTACTGAGGATTAGCTTTTAGCAAATATTACAAAGTACACTCACCGTCTTCCCTGAAGTGCAAAGGACTTTAATTACTTCTCCTTTAGCCTCCAAGACCTCACCATCTATCCAGGCCACATCAGGATCCTCCACCCAAACCCGGGACCCAACTATAGGATTGGCAGTAGCAGCCTACAATATGAAGAGTGTCACAGCTTAACTGTACTAACTACACAGAAGTACCTCTCAAATAAAAGTTTACGCATAATCAAATACCTAAAGTGAAACTCATAAACAGTGGGAAAAGGAAAAGTAAATTATCTCTCTTAAAGTCTCAAATTTCTCAGAATTGAAATATAAGTCCACACATGCAAACAAGAAAAAGTAATACAACATAATTGCTAGTTTATTACAAAAATGTAAGTGATGACTTGCTTTGAAAAAATGTTCTTTAAGTTTCATTTTCTATTTTCACTTTTTACTCGCTTTCCTGTTTCCAAAGTTTGCATGGCAAATAGCAAGTTCAAACAACTTATTTCCAAAGTTTTGCATTAAAAAATAAAAAAATGGTGAAAACAATTAAAGAGTAATTTTTAGTATATAAATCTTGAAAAACAAATAAAGGAAATGAAATAATACCTATGCCATTTTATAATTAAAAGTGAAAACAAGAAATATTTTCTCAAACCAACTGCTCCTGACTTTGCTGCAGAAATTCTTGTTTTGACTCAACCAGCATGTAATGTAACCATTCCATAATTTTCCTTACACTGAAGTTGCAATATGGGTTTAATTGAAACCCACATGGTCGAAAATGTAACTAGAAACCCTTGGTTAGAAACATTCAGTGCTATATAATGTGTTTGAAAATACCATTGAAATTATAGTTTATCCTCAGTTCATCTGCATATTATAGCTTATTTAGTTGCACATCCAACAGGCAACTCACGTCAAAGGAGAAGCAAAAGAGAGTAGCTTTTTCATTATACAAGGATTTGATGTAAACATTTTTCATTTGCATGAATTGTAGACTTGACACCAAACATGCGCTTCCTATTGTGAAGCAGCATATATTAGATTCTGACTGCAATTTCAGTAGTAGAAAATAACAAATTCAATGAAGGAGGCCAATCAAAGTGGCTTAACTAACAGCAATGGTATGAAAAGCATGTTGCAACATAATCAGAAGAAAACATACGCACAATGACTATTGAAGTCAACATTGATATTAATATAAAAGAGCGCAAGTGAAATAGATGAGAAACAAACTAAAGATTCATGGACTAGTCAAGCTTCTCGGACAATAAGGTAGGAAACACTGAGAGAAATATATTACATTAACTGAAACATTAGTAACCCAGGAAACACTCAACACCTACAATCATCCAATTAAACTTATTAATCGAAACTATTGACCATGGGGGATTAATAAGCAATAGCCACACCCCACAATATTAACAAGCATAGGAAAGGAAATAAACTGGTCCTCCTCAATCACACGGACATGCACATTTACCCAATACATGTTACTTCGAAGTTAAGGACCTACCTTGTCAAAGTAAGGTCAGACCTATCGATTAAGATTATTCCAGGAAAACAAAAGGCACTAATGCTTTTTTATAATTTTGAACCAAATTCAAAATCTTTGAGCTTAAATCAATGCAAAAATCATCTAAACCAATCAACGATGCATTGCGATAACGATAATATAATGATAGTAAATTTGCAGTACTTTCAGAACAGATGATTCAGAAGACAATATTCACAATAAGATTATTTTTCCCTACAAGTCCAGTTAAAGTAACAGCAAAATGATATAAACTATTATCTTTCCAGATTTAGACCTTTTGGCATGTTTCTTCAAAGAAAAAAATTAACATAAAAGAAAAACATTCACTATAGAATTGGACTTCTACAATGTCAGCTGGCAATAGCAACTCATTCATAAAAACTAAAAGTAATCGGTTCTAAGTAAAAGAATCGCCCAAATCTACCTTCTATGCTATAGGACATCAGTTCATTAACATAGGAAAATAAGAACCCCGTTTTCATTAACAAAAGAAGAAGGAAAAACAGCAATCCCCTATCAAAAGGTCCATTTCAACAAAGTGAGCTTCACGTCACTGAAAGGGAATGGAAGACTTTAAATTGACTCAACCAAGACCACAAGACGAAATCCAAATGAATGAGAAAAGAATACCATTTATGAGAGAGATCGGATCAAAAACTCAGCTTGTAATCGGATCTACTGCCAACACTCCCAACGGCTACTCCACCAATCAAATGAAAGATCTTGCCACTCCCCCTTCGCCTCAACTTCCACAAAATTACGTCTTTTACAACTCCAAATGCAGCAAAAACAAAAGGGTATATCTATATATAAATAATGTATTTATATATATATATATATATATATATATATATGAACTGGAAGACAATGTGGAGAAAAAAAAACAGAGAGAAGCTTAAAACCCTTCAACAAGACCAAAACTTTTGAAGAAGAGATTAAGTCCCTGGTCTGCTGCTGTTACTAGTTCAACGGCAGACCTTGCTTTGGTAATGGGTTTTATGTTATGCTGTGATGTGCACGTTCTGTTTGTTTGTAAGTTGTACCTCCTTCTTTTCAAGGGCAAATAGTTTATTGGTAAAAAAAACAACGAAGATGATGATGTTGGTGACATTTGGACTCAGGAGCATTTCATCATCGTAGGTAAAATGAAAAACCTTTGCTTATGTAGGTGGCATTCCATAAATGCCCCTAGATGTTGGTATGAATTACAGTACTTTGACAAACGTTATTATGTCAATCTTAATTAAAAATCAAAATATTTGAGGCGCCTATCGCGGTCGCCAACGTCTTCGGATGTTGCTCTAGTGGCCTCAATCCTCTCCTTTTGTCCTTACTTGCATGTTTTTTTTTTTTTAAGTAAATTTTTCAAATTTGGTCTTTTTGTGTTGAATTGGATTGGATTAAATTAGTGTCAAAGAGTGAAAAAAAAAAGGGTTACGCTAAAACTTGTTTGTTTATATAACTGTTGATTAATATAAATACTTGTGATTTATATCTCTTAAATTATTCAAAAACTGAATCATGGTGATGTCAGGTAAATTCTGTTGTTAGGAGAAAAAATTATACTTTGTGCATATTCAATATTTTCGGTGGGGTTAGTCAAATTATTTTCTTTAATTTTCTTCATATTATTCTCCTAAACTAAATTCACACATTTTCTTCCTTATTTCCTTTTTTTTTTCTTCTATTACATCTTATTCATTGTATTAAACAAAAACCTCAACTATGGTTTCATAAAAAGAATATCCTAAACTAGTTGTGGATATTATCATCCACACTTGCAACATGCAATAGAGTAGGAATAATATAATATGTTAATAATATTATGATATTTAATTGTATGTTTGGTATTAGTAACTTCACAGTACATGAATTTTCCTAAGCTATAACGTAATAATTTAATAAAATTATAACATCAATACATTCTTTGACTCATTTGCTAACTTCACTATGTTCAAGATTTTTCTTTGAAAATGACCTTCCACAATAAAGACAAGTCCAAACTAGATGGAGTTGTTGTTTCATTTTATATCAAACCAACTATGAAATGAAAAGTAGTTTACAATTCATTGGAGAACAATCGAGAAGAAAAAAATGAGGGGTTTTGTTGAGCAAATCCTATTTCCTATTTTCTTTGGATCTTACTTGTTCTTTAATTTAATATAAAATGATTTATTTATTTATTTAGTGTGTTATGTTCACCATCTTTTGACAACCTTTTTATAAATGTGTGAAATTATAAAATATCATTACAAGTTACAACAACTCACGTAACCATTCTTCTTCATTTTAAAACCATTGTGGGTGGTTCTTCGGGCCCTAATAAACCACTAGGACCAAACTCACCTTTAAAAAAATAAAATAAAAAAACTCACATAACATGAGTTACATTGTTAAAATATCATGAATACCTTATTTTTAGATATTCTTGTAATTAATTATTAATTATTTTGTCAATCAATAACAATAAATAATCATGTTTTAAGCATAATTAAACATTAAATATAAGCATGTCTTTTATAACTTGGATTTATCACATTTTTTTCTTGTAGATTCAGTTCCGTTGAGAGAAATTAATCTAAAATCTAAGTAATATTAATATCAATTGAATGAGAATATATATCATTACTTACTCTTTGGTTGAAGTAAAAAATATATTGTTTTTAAGATTTAGCTTTTATGAATAGAAAAGTACATTAAGAAAATTTTAACTTCGTAAGTATAATTAAAAATGAATAAAAAGATGAAATTTATTGAAAATTTAACCTAAACGGTAGTGGTGATTTTAAATAGTAACTTGATTAATAATTATTAATATCAAAGTTTAAATAAAATTTAGATTTAAGTATATTTTAATGTTGCTACTTTTTTCTTATTTTATTTTTGCAAGACTGATACCTTGAGTGACATGTTCTCTTTTACATATAAATATGGCGTTGACATTTCATTAAATATTAGATATTAAATTAATGGATAAATTAGGATTGTACAAGTAAAATAATTAGAAGATCGAAATTGTGAAAAAAGTATTTAATAGAGAGACTAAGTTTACGCAATGGTCATAATAAAAAGGATTAAATTACAAACAAGTATATTTAGATGGTTAAGGACTAGATTAATTAATTAATGATATTATATTGAGTAGAAATATTTTTAATTAATTTATAAAGATATTTTTAAAAGATAAAATTATGTTAGATTAAAGTTTTAATATTATTAGCAATATTTTAAGATAAAATTTATATTCTTTCCATGAATACTACTAATTATTTACTCTCCAAACAGAATAATTCGTTGCAGTAGAGTTACGTTCATACATTAATTCGTTGCACTATATATATTTTATTTTGTTCATATTTATTGTATCATTATTCTACTATACTCTATTTTTTTTATATATTAATATGCTTCTTAATTATTACAAAGTAAAATGATAGCTGAATCGAATTAAATTTCACGCAATAGAATTTATTGTACTTGTACAAAGAAATAAATATTGAACCCTAAAAATTAATTGAGTACTTCCTAACATTAATTGTTTTTTCATATTTAAATGATTTTATAAAAAAAATTAAACAAATTTCGCTGGTCGTGGGAGGCTGGTGCAGCCTTCAGATGCGACGGTGATTATTTATATTTAAATTGAAGTGTAAAATTAGATTAAATGGTCATATTCATATCATTTTAATTAGTTTTTTACATATTATTAATATATTAAAGTTAAAATCTGAATTATAATTTTATATTATATAAAAATAGATGAATTGAATAAGTAATATATAATTTTAGAGTTAAATGTGGTTTCAGCTTTATTATATTGTTGGGCCCATTAATAAAAATTTGTTGTGTTTCCCTGGGATTGCTTACTTATATATAAATTAATTAAGTAATTAAAATAAGCATGTTTGCAAGCATATTTATTCAAAGAAGCAAAAATAATTGATGTTTGGCGTTGAATGTGATGAATAGCATATTTGGGGGAACGTGTTTTCTAAAAAAGAGAAAAAAAAAAAAAGTTTACATCTATTTTATGTTGTTTGGTGATATGAAAATGTTAAGAGGGTCCACGCGTAATTCGTAAAGTAAAGTAAGATTTTTGCTTCAATTTTCAAACATTGATTAAATTATTTTTGTCTCGGCTACGTTCAGAGTTGTTATTAAAAATTATTTAAGAATAAAAATAAATATTTTATTATAAATTTTATATTTAAATTGTTTAAAAATAAAAAAAATTGTTTAAAATAAATATCTGATCATATTTTAAATAATTTAATTATAAAATGTATAATAAAATATTTAATTTTATTTTTAAACAATTATAATTAAAAACTTTATTTAGAGATGTTGGTTCACAAGTATTTTTTTTCGTAAAAGTGTAATTTTAATTTATATTTTCTTCTTTGTTAAATTTGTGTGTGGAATTTATACTTGTGTATGTGTATTTATTAGCATGCTCATTTTTTCAAAACACACTCACATGATATGCACATTATTCGTTCAATGTTATTCTTTATTTTTTATTTTTATTTATGACTTAACATTCTCTATCTAATTTTGTTATACTAACAAATTATATATATAATAATAAAATAGATTAGATTGGATGTATCGATTGATAAGTTCATTTAAAAAAAAAAGAATGAATTAGAAATTTTAATTTGTTAATTAATAATAAAACAAATCATTTATAATTTATTTTAAAAATATTTATATATTAAAATTTAAATAAAAAATATTATAATGATATATATTTTTTATTATGTTATTAAAATATTATCCAACCAACTTCTCCTATTTATTTTTAACAAGTTAAAAGGAAAAATTAAAATAAAATAAAAATGAGTCATTTTACCATTCTTTGTTTCAAAGACATGAGTGACAAAGGTTTCGATTTTTTTTCATCTATTATTTTTCAACGAAGGAAGACGCGTGGGCATGAAAAGGAAAGTTTGTGGTTGAATATTGACATAATTGCATTGAAACACGTGTTTTATACTCATTATTAGTCATTATTATATCATCATTTATTTATGATGTTTTCTTCTGAAGAAATATAATTAATGTTATTTGTAGAAGAGTGTTTGAGAACGTGAACTGCACCTTTGCGTATGGCCAATCATCATGCTATAAAAAACAATAAATTTTCATTTATATTTTTGGGGTTTGAAATATAACTATATTTTCTTTTAAAATTATTTTGGACTTATTACTTCTTAATTTGGTAATCTTTAAAACTTTTAAAAAAATACTTTAATAACTATTTCATTAAAATTGATAAAAATAAATTCATTTTTATTAATAATAATTATGTTTTTATTAATAATTACATTTTATCATTTATCTTTATAATTATAAAATTATTATAATAATTTTTATTTTTATTCTGATTTTTCATATTTGTCAATATAGTTTTTTCTTGTCAAAAATAGTTTTTAAACTAAAGTAATTAAACAAATTTTTATAACTTATTTTCAAAGATAACTTTTTAAAATTAAACTCAAATTATGTTAAAAACTAAAAAAAATCAAATAAATATTTAATTCAAATTTATTTATATTTGCATGATTTATATTAATATTTATATTTGCACTAAATAAAAACATTATATTTATTAAGAGAGTAAAGTCATTTTAGCACATTATATCAATTTTTTTTGTTTATTTTTATTTTTTAATTGTAAATCATGTAAACAAAAAATCTTATAAAATTTAGATTTTAAGGTTCAATAGTCAGTCTCAACTGTTGTATCGATCGGAATTTAATAATTAAAAAATAAAAACATTTTATTAATTAACTTTAAAAATTTATAATAGGAACAATTATTTAATTTTTATTTATAAAAGTAACCATTTAAAAACTATAAAAGATTTTTTTTATATAAGATTGTGATTTTTATTTCATCTATTTCAAGATGTGACTAGCTTAGTACAAAAGAGTACAACATTTCAACCAATCATAATCTTCAGTAAAATAAGTTTTTCTCCCCTCTTCTCTCTTTGCATGCATAACTTTTTAATGATGCATGTGATATTTTTAGAGTAAAAATAATATTTGCCAGTCTAAGTTCCTAGCATGTTGAATTTAAGAATTAAGATTTTCTATGAATAAATCTGAGTATATTATGTAAAAGCTACGCTCACTCATGAAACTGATGTTAAAGTAAGACAACCAGTTGATTTTAAATCTCATGATTATAATATTTGTGAATATAACTCGCTCATAAGTATTGGATTGTAGGAATTATGAATAGATTGGATTATGAATTGAATTTCATAGATGTTATAGGGAATTTTGTGATGAATGAGTTGTGTAGAAATGAATCTAAAGATTTATATTTAGTACTGTAGTTGAAATTGTTATAAACATATTAGAAACATGAAAGATTAAGGATATGTTTGGTAGAAATAAAGAAAGTGCGAGAAAATAAAATAAAAGAAAGGGAATAAAAAAAGAAGTAAAAGGGATAAAATAGAGTAGAAAGTATTCTTATTTGTTTAGAATGAAAGTGAGGTAAAAAAAATTGGATATAGCTTATTTAAAAATAATAAATAATTAAATTAAATATTTATTCAATTACAAAATCACCTATATAATTATTAATTAATTTTTTTATTAATAAAATAATTTTATAAAATAATATATTTAAGTTATATACTTATTTTTTTTCAATAATATATAATTTAATATATAATTAATAAAATATATATTAAATTATTCATTTTATTTTTATAATCACTCATATGATAATAATTAAAAGTATATATGTATATATATAATACTAAAATTATAAACATAAAAATGAATAATTATTTATTTGAGGATAATTTTATAAAATAACATATATTTTACACTTTCCACTTCTTTTATCATATTTTGCATTATCATCATTGAAGTGACAAGACTCCAAGAGTATGGTCTTAATTACTTTCCCCAAAATGGAAACATTGATTGCTCATCACTCAAGCTATTAGTTTTGGCTCAAACATAGGACTCCAAAAGTTAAAAAGCTATACTTAAATAACATAATGTTCTCTAAATTAAATATATACATGAGGGAAATTGAAGTTCATGAAGGAATGTTGTTCATACGAATATTTACTCACTCAAGTGACGTTTCATGCATGATAAATATAATCAAAGGTTTAAAAGTGTATATCATAATTAATTCTTGCATTTTTCTATTTATATAATTATATAAATCTCGATGGAATGTATGCATGTATATGATGCAAATAATTGGAATGTGAAGTGAATTAATATGATCAATATGATGGTGTTCTGAATTTTTGGACAAGATGTAAAACATAGTTATTATAAAAGAAGTAATATTATGTTGTGATTCGTAATTGTATATTGAATTAGAGATTTATTAGAAAGTATCTTAACTCTCACATAGAAAAATATCAAACCGTGAATTGATACAAATTATAAAAAAGTTGTCACAAGTCATGCAAAAGATCCCCTTTTTACAAAAAAAAGAAAAGAAAAAAGAATGATGCCATCTCCAAACTCACTCCCGGTCACCATCCTACCAAGACCCTATATATGACAATATATTTGTATGTAGTAATTTGATATAACATCCTTCAAAGGGACATTACCTACCCAACAGACTCAGGTCAAAGAAATCAATATTCTTCTAAGACAACCATTTTTTTCGCTTGCGTATCCTATCTCAACTTACCCTTGGAACTTTGGAGGTGAACTCAGCTCCTGGCCAATTTTCTCTACATGCCAATCAAGATTTTCAACACCTTTTTAAGAACTCTGAAAAAAAAAAAGGGACAGGCTAGTCAAGGCATAAATAATTAAAAGAATTCGCACCCCCAAAAGACCACTATTTGCACTTCTAACATGTCCTAACTTTCTTCTCATAAATTTCAATTACAAGATGCCAAGTAACCTTGCCTCCTACAATTAAAACCAATTGGGACTCCAAAAATGTATCGGAACTAACCAACGGTACACGAAGAAAGCGAAATGTTACCTCCAAAAACCATCCACATTAATATCGAAGAGGTTTCTCTCGCTAAAATTGATCTTTAGGGCTAAAACCAACTCAAAATTTTAAGAAATGCTTTAATCATTCAAATATTTCCACAACCTGCTACACCTTACACTATAGTATGCATGCCAATCGTAAAAGTGATAAATTAACCTTTCATTATATCATGGTAACCCCCGAAATATACCGAATTCTACAGCCTTAGACATATGACCAGAAAGCTTTTCAGGCTTTCAGCCACAATGAGAAAAAGCAAAGGTCAAATAAGAATACAATTGGTAATTTTCCAATAACTTGTGCGGGTATTCACATGTGAAAATTTCATTATGGCCACATTACCTCATTTTTCCAAACTTGTGTTTATCTTTTGACCATGTGAAATTGCTGCTTAATAACAGTTCTTATACCAGGAAAGTAACCATTGGATGGGTCTCATACCCAAGATACAATACAACAGGATATGTAATAATAATAAAGAAAATGGTTACAAGAACAATTTCGAGCAGCAAAAGAACAATTCCAACATGGAGAGAGAAGTAATAATCTCACAGAAATAATGATTCTGGACTAACTATCGGACATCTTAGGACAAGACATGTAAAAGAACCACAAGGTAAACATGGCTTCAAAAATGAGCAAGTTGAACTTCATTGATGGGGAATACTAGTTGTCTCTGTCTAGCATAAAAAAGATGCCAACCGTGGATCAATCCGATATGGAAGACCACTCCGAGCACCCAAAGCTCTACATTTGGCAGCTGCCTGAAGTCATTACCATGAAAATAATATTAAAAGAAAAAAAAAAATCATTCAATTTTCCCATTTTGGTTTGCAATGAAACACTATGAATTCGATGTCTCTTTGTCTTGAGTGGCAACTTACCACTTTAGCAGCAAGTGGCAACATTTTCTCTGGTACCATGTTTGCACAGATAGCTAAAAAAATAAGTCAGGGAGCATAAGTAATTATCCAAAATGTTTAAAATCTAATGCAAAAAAGAATAGAACTTCCAGTAAACTTAAATCAAAACACATAAAAATGAAATAATGTTAATGTTAACTTCATCACTGTCTTTCAGTTGGGGGACTAACATCGAGTTCATGGTTGAGTTCACCTGCTAATCCAAGCTTAAAGAGACGAGTATCACTTTTGAACCAAATATTTCTATATCCGTCTCTACACATTGAGATCATTGTTCTATTACTGTATTGTAGGTATACATCTGTTAGTTAACCACATAGCCTCCTTAAAAATAAGAGCAAGTCACACATAATCAGTTTAAGACAGAAACCTTGCAGATATATGGGGAACATGACAAGCTTGGACCTAGATTGATTGACGTGATTGGGACCCCAGAAAACATTGCCCATAAACCACTTCCATGGCCTTATGGGAATGTTTTTGTTCCTTTCTACATTTTTATCCATGACTCAAACACAAGAACAAAAGAAAATAGGAAAACCCAGCTGAAGTATCAAGAAGCTTAGACAGAAAAATAAACAATTTTTTAGGTCCGGGACCACACCTACCATATATAACCGCTCCAATAAATGCATCCCCAGCACCAGTTGTATCAACCAGCTCAGAATCTGGTATCTTCTCTGCTGTTCCAATATAGAATCTCCCACAAATTGTTCCAATTCCATTTGCTCTGAATTTCTTCACTGCCTGAGAAACTCACCCGGTAAAGATAAGGGGGGAAATATATATAATCTTTAGTTTTTGTCATTATTTGATATGGAATAGGACTTATTTATGCCTGTCTATAATGTATACAGAATCCAGTACTGAAAACTACTGTTACTGTCTGGCAACTCCTATTAGTATGTTTCCCTTTCAACTGTCAAATTAGAATAGCATTATAATCCACAAATACATTTATTGAATATTCAGTTATTATTTTTCAATGTTCTTTCAATTCATTATTTTTAATTAATAAACATTTAATTTCTACATAATTCATATGAAGTTAGCATCATAAAAATATGTTGCCTTTAATCCCTTCTACCAATATATCCAAAAAAACTAGATGTCAATTAGACTACATATCCTAGAAGGATAAAAAGCTTGATTTCCGTTGTTATATTGAAAAGGCTTAAATATGTTTTTAATCCATGTAAAATGAGTGAGTTTTGATTTTAGTCCCTATAAATATTTCTCGTTGTTTTTCATCCTTGTAAAATTTAATAACTGCTTTTAGTCCTTATAAAATGAGATGATTTTGATTTTAGTCCTGTAAAACATTTTTCTTTAATGTTTATCCCTCAATTTTAAAATCACTATTTTTGATTCCTAGCATTCATTGTAAGAGATAAATAACATTCATTTACGTATCAACCTTTTTAGAGGTGTTAAATGCTAACATTACATCACAGACACGACTAAGTGTCACTTGGAATGGTCAATTTACCTTTCATTCAATGCATGAACAGTTAACAAGTGTCACAAAATATTAGGGATCAAAAACAATAAATTTAAATTTTGGAAACAAACAAAAAATCTTACAGGAACTAAAATAAAAACTCGCCCATTTTACAGGGGCTAAACTCATATTTCCTTTCTCTTAGTAATTTTTTTCTCTTCAATCCAGTAAATTTCTTCTTTACTAAAAAAAATGTATTTTTGTATACTCAACGCAAAATTGTAGAATATATCTTCCCATGAAAATAAAACTTATAGAAGTTTAGCTTCAAAAATATGTTACCGATGGTATACAGGTTGGGATAGTCAAGCTATCACCTTTCCCTTTATATAAGAATTCTATGAAACTCTCTACATCAATTTCTTCTAGGTCAGCATCCTCTGCCAAAAAGAGAATTAAGCTTGTAAGTTGCATTTGCTTCTTGAAGAAAAAGGTGCAATCTAAAGCAATAACTAAAGAGCATTATGCTATCCTTCAAGAAGTTAAATTGAAAGGCCAGTAGTGCCTTTACCATTTGCACTTCTTTCTAACATTAGACAACCATCTTCACCCAATGTCACAATTACAAAGTTGATATTTGGAAATCTTAAAAGCATGGAAACCAGTGCACTTGGGATAGATAGTGCTTGCGTCCAAGCCTGACACAATACAAAACAAATCCTAAATAAACTACAACAAGCAAAAGTAGAAGTAAATGGACACATCATTTACATGATCGGAGGAGCAGCTAATGTTAAAGAAATTGAAGCTAATCATGCGTAAAAAATGAATTTTAAAGTAAATGTATATAAAATGTTTGCTTTTGGGGAGCTGATGATTGAGAAGAGAAACATTTTGAATACAAGAAGAAATGTATATTCAAACTATGGCCTTTGAAATGAAATATCTCCTCTGAATGTTGAGAAGCAAAACATTTTCTAGTAAGTCATACAATCAAATTTCTAATGAATCCAAATATGCATAGTTCAAATTAATTCAAAATGCATGTAAGACAAAAGATAAGTTAATTAAAGATGGATTATAAGTTCTTCATATTTACATTACCTGTGGAAACTTAGCAGAGCATATAACAAAATGCGCTAGCTTCAAGAGCTCATCCAATCCTTCCCTTGGTGATTCTGCCTCGACTAAAATAGGAATATTATTCCGAGCTGCCTGTAATTGGAAATTCAATCACTAAGACCAAATTTGTTTTAGCTTTAAAAGGTGTGATTCTATGATTCAACTTCTTTTAAGGCTTGTTTTCAAGAGCTACTACTTTTACTCATCTATTAATTTAACAAGTGTTTTTTATTTAAAACACACACACACACACACACACACACACACAAATGAAGGTCTGATGTTCAAAGTCACTGTGTTGATAACGACTACTTCCAAAACTTCACCCCTTCCTTAGCACCCAGGGCAGACCAGGTTCAGGCAGGCTATCTGTACAAAGTATTCTTTACATCCCATCCCAATATTATAATTCCCATTCACCAATTTCAAAAAAAATAAAAAAGTTCATTTACAAGCCAAACCAAAGCCCCCAAAGGGATGCAACAACTGAACTAAAAGTAATTTATCATTTACCAGTATGCATGCCTTAAAACGTTCTGCAATCATGAAAAAACTGTAATAGAAGTAAGATAACGATTACCTCTTGCGCAACAAATAGAGCAGTTTCAGGAAACATTCCATCGAAATAAACTAATCTTGCTCCATCAAATGCAGATAATAATGTTGACTGGGGCAGGTCATCTAGGATCATCGGAGGATCTCCAGGAGTGTAGATACTTGTGCGAGATTTTCTGGGAGTATTACTTATAATTAGTTAACTAAATTAATCACAGAAATCCTAGGTAGATTACCTTAAGTCTAACCACATATTTTTTATTTTGTATTTTAAAGCATAGGCTTAACCACACTTAATTCTGCAAAAAAAATTGAAAATATTGGATAGAAGTTTAGTGAATACAATATGCTTCCAAGAGGCTGCAGTTTCAAAACCAATAGAGTCACTAGTAATAGTCATGATGTGATAAACAAATTGAAATGCAATTCACCCAGGGCCGCAGTGAAAGTTATTCAAATAGTACTTGCACGAGTAATTTAAAACACTAGAAGTCTTTGTCTCCATATTAACAAACCAATAATATCATATTCAGAACACAATGGGCAAGGAGGGAACTGGCTGAAATTTTAGGTTTTCTGAGAATCTTTTCCTAAGACTATGTTTTCAGAACATAATGAACAAGGGAGGAATCCTTGGGCTCCCGTATCAGGTCATGAGACTATGTTTTCTGAAAATCTTTTCCTAAAGATCATCATATGCCATTTTAAGCCTTAAAACAACATGTTTCTTCATATTGTCAGAGAAACCAAAACAAATTCTAATCATGGAAAAAAGTAAGGGGAAAAACATACAAAAGCAACTCTTACGTTTGGTTGTCCACTAGAACATAAGAAAATGTTGAGCTACCTCCCTTGGATACCTGAAATAAAAGCAAAAAGAATTCAAAACAAAGCATGATAACTAGTAAGGTTAGAATTGAAAAAGTTAAGCATCACAATTCTTCATCAACAGACAATTTTACAATGGTATAGAACAAGGTTAAATCATTCCTGTGTTTAAAAAAATACAATCAGTGTAGGGATTAAAACAGACAAGTTTTTTTAACATATACAACGAAGTGTAATTGTTTCCAGGTACAAACTACAAGAAAAACGTGTCAAGTATGGATACTAAATCTAACAATACAATTTTGACAGACATTAAGGATCAATTCCTAACATGTAAAAATTTTTTCGTACATGAATCAAAATGTATTTGACAACTTTCAGTTAGCTGCATACCAATACTCAAATCCAGAACCATTAGTTAAGATAAAGGAATATAATATGTTGGTGTTAATTGAACTTCGTGCTCGATGGATTTTATCATTATTATTAATAGGAAGATAAAGCAGTGATGACGTAACAAACTGTGCGCTTTGTAGATACAGAAAAAACAGTATTGCTTGCTTGCTTGCATGCAAAATCATTCAAATTTGGAACATCAGAACACAAAGAAGGAAATATTAAACAAAATTAATCTTACGACAATGAAGCTGGTATCGACGCCATCGGCTTCCAACTCCTTCAATATGGCGAAGCCGTGCGCATCGTCCGCAACCTTGGAGATCAGCTTCGGCTTCAAGCCGAGCCGAGCGGCACAGGTCAGAGCATTGCCGGCATTTCCGCCTCCTTCAACCTTCAGCGAACTGCTTCGGACCTTATCGTCGGGGTTCGGAAATACATCTACCGTAGCCAAGAAATCGACGGTCGTCATTCCGTACCCGACCTGTGCGCCAAAATCACAATAATAAACCTATGAATATATAAATATATATTTAAAGATATATATATATATATATATATATAGAGAGAGAGAGAGAGAGAGAGAGAGATGCAAGAAACAACGCACGACGACGCGATTCTTGGGAAGAGGAGGAAGCGCATCGGAGGACATTTTGATTTTGGAATTGAAACGGCGACGGAAGCGACGTGGTGAGTTGAGATTGAGGACGACGCTGCCATTGGTTACACCGAACAGCTTCGACATGCTCGCGATCTCACACAAGAGAGAAACGATTCCGTTCAAGTTCAGTGAGTAGGCGACTCGTTACAATCCCAACTGTGAACACTTCACTATTTATCTTCTACAATTTTCATGAGTTACACATAAATATCAAAGTCGTTGTAGTATAGTGGTGAGTATTCCCGCCTGTCACGCGGGTGACCCGGGTTCGATCCCCGGCAACGGCGATAATTTAATTTTTGCTTACATTTTTTATTTTTACTTTCTTGTTTGTATTTTACTCTTTTTTTTCCTTTTTATTCTTTTTTATATTTTATTATTTTGTTTCCTCCCTTCTTCGATATATCTAAATTTCCTCTCTTTTTCTTACGTTTCTACTTTTTTATTTCTTCACTTTTATTGCTTTAACTATTTTACAAAGCTCAGTCATTTCCTTTTATATATATATATATGAAGATAATGTGAGATGGGACATTCAAAGATATTAAACGTTTACTATTGAGATCATAAGCTTCGTGAAGAAATTAATTATTGTGAAAATAGAATGGTATCTTGGCACTTGCATATACGTAAGCATGAATTCATTATGTGAAAAGAGTTTTGGGAGTAAAAGTGTGTGCACCACAACAACGAAGTATTTTTAAAGTTGGCTTTGCATTCTAAATCGACATTTGATGAAACAGAAGAATGTAGAAGAAATTTCCAATATTGTATCACTTCCTCTGACCAAAAAGTCTATTTAAACCACATGGCTCGCTTCAGTGGTAAGGAATGCTAATGCGTGAAGGATGCCAGACATGGATCCGTGTGGTAAGGGAGACCAGTTCTTGCTCCTATAGCTCTGCACTTGGAAGCAGCCTGTAATTACCATTGAAATGAATGCATAAGCTTCTTGCACCAAACTTAACTCATCATCCCATTGTTACAAAATAGGCATGCACTATCCATTTCTATTAATTTTACTACTTGAGTGAATGACTATTTACCACAGTAGCAGCAAAGCACAGCATTTTCTCTGGCGTGAAGTTGGCACAGATAGCTGAAAGCAATAAAAAACATCATACATTATTTCACTAGTTGACATGTTGCAGGAAAAACCACTTTGAAAATCAAATAACTAAATGTTGGAAAGGAGGAGATGAACAATTTGGAGAAAAGAAATTGGAAAAAAAAAAAGTAAAATAAAAAAGCAAACACAACTGCTGCCATGGTATTGAGTATCTATCATAAATCAAAACATCTTGTTGTATTTTTAATATAAAAATTGGGAACTACAACTACTTCTGTTTTACCACTTTGACCAAAGGGGAACAATCCATCATTGCCAAACCAACCTTTTGGAACAGAAAACCGTAATGAAGACTGACAAGATACTACCAAAAGGTAAATGAACTAGCAAGAATGGCAAGTATAAAGTTTACATGTGTCACTTTGAAGCACTCAAGGAAAAGATATGGAACAAAATTTGTAAATTACCATAGATAACAGCTCCAATAAATGCATCTCCAGCACCAGTTGTATCAATAAGCTCTGATGGTGGTATGTTCTCAGCTGTTCCAACATATAACTTGCCAAAAACCGTTCCTATACCTTCAGTATGCAATTTTTTCACTGACTGGAAGTAAATAAAAAGAAAGATATAAATAAAAGGTTTACCAAAAGCAAATAAGCATTTATTCAGTTACAATCCCCTATATAATTTCAAAGATGCAAATGGTCCACAATACCACAACTAATACCCAGAAAAGTTTTTGATCTTATTCATCAGTTTAGGTAGTTGACTATTGGTTTAGAAAAATAATTTTGCCAGATTATCTAGCCTCTACCTTTCAACCAATATAGACTTTTCTTTTTTAGTACCATAATGAAACAAATAATTAGTTACAAGGTTATAATAAGATTATTTTATTGAAAAAAGGGGTCTGCTTGTGCTAAAGGGCCTAAGACACCCATGTGGTAATAGTCATAGTTTCCAGTATCTGCTGCATTATTCGCAAACTGGATTTCACTTCAGTAATACTAATACCCCAGCAGAGAAAAAATGTTTAAGAGCTTCATTGTGAATACTGATGATATGCAGGTTGGGATGTGTGTGGTACTGTTCTTTCTTATCTCTAGGGATTCCAGTAATTGGTCAACGTCCACTTCTTCAGCAGAAGGATCCTCTGTCAGAAAAAGCATCATAGTAAGTCAGAACTTGTTTCGATTAAAAGAAAATACAGCATACACTTAATATGCAATGTAAAATATCTAATTCTGTCCGGTGCTAGTTTCTTCATGATAACATTAAAAGCAAATAAAAATGGAGGAAATGGTAATATGTACCATTAACACTTCTCTCAAGCATTATGCACCCATCTTTTCCCAAAGTTACAATCACAAATTTGATGTTGGACAACCTTAAAAGCATACAAACTAGTGCTTTAGGAACTGTTGATGCCTCTGTCCATACCTGTCACAAAACTTATCCAAAATTAGACTAGTTAAAGCAAGCAGAGAAGGAACATCCATTTTTATCCTTGGTATCAGAAAGTGATATCCCTTCATCTTCACAAAAAGGAAAATACAATTAAAGAAACATAGATTATGCAAGAACTTATCTATATATATAGAATACACAACTCAATTTCAGAAGGCCACTTAAATGAAGATAGAGATATCGTCGGATGCTATGTCAGAGTTAACATTTGACTCAGCTAAAAACACAATTATAGATAGACAGGTAAAATTAAAAGGGAGCATATTAAAATCAATTCATTTCTGAACATCAAATACAAGGTTCGTGGGATACCTCTATAATGCACATCCTTACAGTGTTTCACTTCCAGAGAAAACAATGCACATACCTGTGGAAACTGTGCAGAACACACAACATAATCTGATAATTTCAGGAGATCATCCAACCCTTCTCTCAGCCTTTCTGCATCCATTAGGATAGGTATATTCTTCTTAACTGCCTGTACTGGAAAACAGGAGAATTGTTTATTTCCCATCAGCAATGCTCTCTTTCATTCTCTCAACCTCCTTTACCAGAAGAAAACAAACTAAAAGACATTAAGTGGATATTTTAAAATACAACACCATTGAAAAAACAAAACATGTTATATCAATTGACTTGGAAAATATCTATTATGCTTTGCAGTTTTTTCACCCTTACAGATTTCTCCATCATATAAGCTGTTGTTATATCATATTCATTAGTGTGATGAGTTCGTACCATTTTAATAAAATATGATTAGAAGTTTTCAAAGTTTGTATTCTTCACTAAATTCAATTTAGAAAGTTCTGCATGCTTCAACTTCTTTCTTTTATCTTTCTTATTTTCGAGATAATGGGGGATTAGAAACTTAAACTTCTAAGTATGGTGATGATTAAACTTAGAGTTCACAACACAACATCAAATAAATTATAAAAGTGATAACCTCATGTGCAACAACTAGAGCTGTTTCATGCAATCTCCCATCAAAATAAACAATTCTTGCTCCATTCAATACAGTTAGTAAACTTGACATAGGAAGATCAACTGGCTTCATTGGTGGAAATCCAGGGGTGTGTATACAAGTACGGGACATACTGAAAAATTTGAATAAAAATTAGTAAGGTAAAAAATATAATGTCTCATTATCAAAAAATGCTTGAAGGTCGTAATATTATGAATCACTATATTTTATTCTTACTAAGGATAATCTATTTTTCTTTCTCATCATGCATGCACTTACCGCTGGGTAAAACAACAGTCTCAGGTATGTAAGTTGACAAGCAGAAGAGAAAGGGGGAAACAAATAGAGGTATGGGTTAGAAGGTTTAGTTCATTTCATTTTTCTTTAAATTATACCGCAGTATCCACTTCTTTATGTTCAATACCATGCAGGAGATAGTCACCAGAATCTCCACCTAACCCATTTGCCTTTACTTCCGAAATTTGGATCATTATATATTACTAAATGGAGACAGTAAAGATGAAACCATGTATGCATGGGATACTAATTATGAACTAAACTGCCTACGGGGGAGAGAGTAAAGAACTTAATGTATTATAGAGCAATTTACAAACAAGCCGAAAAGCAAAAAGAATATATAGATGGCAAGGGATAAACAACTCTAATGAAACAACCAGAGCAGGAACATCACGTCAAGTGATTTTAATGTAACAATGAAATATTGACATCATGCTTATTGTATTTCAACAGAATTTCTTCTTGCGATGGGAGTTATAAAAATAAGAGGAATAATAAGTCAATAATTATTACGTTTGGCTATCCACAATGACATACGTAAATGGTGAAATGCCCTCCTGAGAAACCTGCACGTAACGACAAGATCTATGAATAGGTAAAACAATAACTACAGCAATAAATGAACACTGTTATATAAATTACAAAATAGGAAAAGAGCCAAAATGTAAACTTTGACCACAGCGTGTTTGAAAGTTTAAGAATGGCTGCGATAGCAAATTCAATGCAAACAGATTCTAACAACAAGCGTTAAGCTAACAACACACTCCTTCTTTTCAATACATTCTGTACTATTGAGTGAACAGCATGCTCAAAACTCAAAAAGTAGTAAAAGGTTAAGACATGTTCAACAATCAACATCTACACTAAAAAAGTAACATGTGAAAGCAAACAGTCAAAGACAGAATCATATTAAGCCACTGTAGTGCGACAAAGAAAAAGGGAAGATTGAAAGTGAGAGATTTACAGCCATGAAGGATGTGTCTACCCCATCAACCTGTAGCTCACGTAATATATCCCGGCCTTGAGTATCACCTGCAACCTTATGGAAATGAAACAAGATAATACAATAATGGGAAAGGAAAAAAAAAAGAAAAAGGAAAAGACATGCATACAGTATGTGTGTTAAACCTTGGAAATTAGTCTTGGTTTGAGGCCTAAGCGAGAGGCACAGGTTAAGGCATTGCCTGCGTTTCCACCTCCTTGAACCTAAACAAACAATGCACATGTTCAACTCCAAAGAAAGAAAAAAAGTGTTATCACTATTGATTATCATGACAAGATGTGATGATAGATAAAAAAGATAGACCTTGAAGGAAGTGCTTCTGATTTTGGCATCTGGTTTCGGAAAAGCTGCAACAGTAGCCAAGAAATCCACCGACACCGCTCCACACCCCACCTGCACACAGTTACAAACCAAGATTCCATTTTTCAGCTTAAAAAGTGAAAAGGGTAGACGCAGAGTAGAGAAATAGGACGCACAACAACCGTGTTTTCACAATCACGGGACATGATTTTGTTTAGGAGGCACTGTCAGTTGGCCCCAATTGAATCCCAAACCCAAAAATTTAGAGGCATTGACCAATGGTCATTGTCAAAAGTCATTATCGTCTTCACCTTACATATTTGTCCGTTATTAAAATATGGAATTTTGTTGTTGTTGTTGAAAATAATATTGATTTATGATTAAATATATATCCCATTTTTTTATTGAATTCCAATTAAAATTGTCTATTACTGATTATTTAATTTATGTCTCTAGGATATAGTAAAAATTTTACAAATTAACAAGGAGAAGTGATTCAACTACATATTACAATTTTACCTTGAATTTTGGGTATTTCCATAAAAATAACATTTAATGGATAAAAAATATTTGAGAATAGGAGTGGAAATTTACATTTAATTAAAGAGAGTGCGGATTATAGGAATTAACCCTCTCTATATAAATATAATTATTTAACTAACTTTTTTTTATGTACTAATTATTTAAATACAACTTTTTTTAGGGACAATTATATAAAAAGTTTAAGTATATTTATTGTTAAATAAGTAAATCGTGACTTTGATTTCTTTAAAAATATTTTTTTTTCATGTAAATTTTGACATAATTATTTTTTTAATATTTATAAAATGAGTGAATTTTTATTTTAGTTATTTAAAATATTTTTATTTAATTTTATACTTTCTAAATTTAAAATCACCCTGTTTTCACCTTTAATATTATTTTAAGATAGAACGTGAAAATTATTTTCGAGATTTTAAAAATTTGAGAGATCTCTAACATTCTATCGGAGACACTAGTAGTTAACACTTAAATTCATCGTATAAGATTTTAATATTAACCATTTTCAGAAAAAAATATTGTTATAATACTTTTAAAGTTCACTAATATAATTAAAACTTTCTACTATAGAATACAACTTTATACCATAATTATATAAATAATTATTTTTAAAAAAATAATAGTAGTTTAAACTTAGAACAATAATTTTAAAAAATTAAATAATTAGTCAAATTTAATTGTTTAAGAATTAACATCATAGATAAATTTTATAATAATATTATTAGGATATCTATTGTTGTAAAAAAAGTCAACACAGTAAACTTAAGTTAGGATTCCCTAATAAATATAAATGACAGAAGTAAAAGAAATAATAATAAAACAAGTAAATTTGAAATGAAAAAAAGAAAGGAAAAGGAAAATTTTCTTTTAAAATAATTTTTTATAAATTAAAATTAATTTACATAGAAATTTTGTTAGAAATTAAAAAAAATATTTTATTGTTTATTCAACTTCTATTACATTATATATCACAGAAGAATCTCAATTGGGGATGATATCATTTGCCGTGATAGAGAGATCAAATGAAGGCGCCAAACAGAGAGAGTATTCTGGATGGAGAGGATGTTAAATAAAAACTGGACCTCCCACTCGAGTAAACAAATAAAATATAACTCACCAAAAATAAGATTAGAACGCAAATGATATTATATCATTGAAATTTAGAATACAATTTAATAGGTATGCTTAAATACTATATAGTAATAAACGACCAATAAAAGAATTTAGATTCTTACACCAGAGATTTTCTAGTTCAAATTAAATAGATATTACTACCAATGAATGTACACGTCCCTCTCTTAACAAATTCAAATAGTAATATCCATCTTATAAATTTATAATTATAAGGTTGAGTTTAAATAAGGGCATGCATGCAATGATAACTTTTTAAATTTCAAAACCTGTTACTTTCACAGGAATTGCATACCGTTGCTAGTAAAAATACAGTAGAGGATTATTGAAAAAAATCAAATACAGTAGAGGAATTGTCATACTGAGTTCATTTTGACATGGCAGGTCCTTTCTGATTACATCGAAATGGTAAGTCGCCATGAGATACAATTCAAGGCATTTACAACACTGTTTAAATTACACTTCCTCCTTGTATAATGAATCAATATTTCAAAATTTGTCAAAGTCTCTGTATCTCTCCATCCATAACATAAAAACTGCAGAAATTTGAGATGCCTAAACTAAATCAGTCACTCAATCATTAGTTCTGATCCCTTTAGATACTGTACATTTAAAAACACTGGAAAATCTCCCAAACCTCTTAAACCCAGTAACCATCATTCCAATTACGCTTGGAAGAAGGTCCTCCATGCTCACTCCGACTTCCTGTAAATCTATGCAAGGACAGCTTGCTTCGGACTGTTCTTAAGGGGCCTGATCTATTCCCATGCCTAATCGGCAATGATATTTCATCTCCAATCAAACTTGATGTAGAAAACGGTCTGTTCTCCATTTCTTCAAGTGGACCAGAACTGTATTCCATAGTGATAAAGGAAGATGCTTGCCCATAAGTTAATCGAGGGGTTAACCCTCCCGCATTCCACCAACTGCTATCAGAAGGGGCAAGGTCACCTCTAAAATCAGACTCCTGAGCAGAGGAATTCTTCTGACTACAACAATCCCCACAAGTTTCATCTGTGTCATTGTATATTAACTTAAGAGCCTGCACAACTTCACCCATAAAAGGTCTCTGTGTAACCTCCGCGTGAACACACATTGAAGCGATTGCAGCAACCTTTGCCATGTCATCAAAGTTGTAACTGCCAGCCAAAGATGGATCCACCAGCTGTTCTAGACCTTCTCTACTAGTCAACATTGGCCGTGCCCAAGTTACAAGATTCTCCTGTCCCTGAGGTTGAGACATATCCACTGGCTTTCTGCCTGTGAGAAGTTCAAGCAACACAACACCATAACTATAAACATCACTTTTGACGAGCAAATGCCCGGTCATTGCATATTCTGGGGCAACATACCTACAAAATTGAACATCAGATAGAAAAGGCATCAAATTAAAGCCAGGAATTTGCAATGAATGGAAAATGAAATGAGCGTACCCCCATTTACTAAACGAATGAATTATAGTTCATAAAGCTATATTATTTAAAAGAGGAGATAAATCTCCAAATGTTTACATTGGAAGATTTATTGAAGAACTTTAAGAATATTTGTGTTAAACTATTAGAGTATTTTACACTGGAAGTCATTGAAGAAATTTACAATTTGGCACCCAATGTTTAAGACTGTACTTCATCAAAATGCAGCAGACAAAGTCTGTTTATACACACTTACCCAAAAGTTCCCATCACCCGTGTTGAAATATGATTACTTCCTTCAGTTGCTTCTCTTGCCAATCCAAAATCAGAAACTTTGGGAGTAAAGTCATCTTCTAGTAGCACGTTGCTAGCTTTGAAGTCTCGATGAATTACACGGGGATTGGAATCCTCATGAAGATAAGCCAATCCTCTTGCAGCTCCTAGGGCAATTTTCATCCTTGCTTCCCAATCTAGCATCCCCTTTATTTTGTCATCACCTATAAAACCATTAATAAAAGCATTTAAATGATTTAACAGATAACACAGAAACACAAATAGTAAATGAGCTGAGAGTCATGAGCTGATGAGAAAATGTTACCATGCAGATGGGACTCAACACTTCCATTGCGAACAAGCTCATACACCAAGCAACGCCTACGCCCCTCAATGCATATACCAATCAGTTTGACTAGATTACGGTGATGCAAACGGCTTAGCATCTCAACCTCTGCAATAAATTCACGGTCTCCATTCTGATTATCTCTTGTTAGCAGCTTAACTGCAACTTCTGCCCCATCTTCCAATGTCCCACTATAAACACGTCCAAATCCTCCTTCACCCAGTACTCTCTTTGAACTAAACTTATCTGTTGCTTTCTCAAGCTCAGAAAGTGAAAAAGTTTTAACAGAGAGAATGGAAGTAGCCATTGTGGACATAAGTGACACTGATGTTGAGCTTGTAATACTGCTTGACAACATAGACCCCAAGCCTGAAGTGCATGCATCAACCCATTCATATTTACTTGAACTAGTTTATGATATAACCAACTGACTAAATATAACTAAGAAAAATAACAAAATTACTAAAAATTACACAAGTACAAGTAAATACCAGACTTGCACCTCGTAAATACATGTTTACTCAATAGAGAAAAATGATTTGCAAACATAAATTGTTTCATTGCTTTGCTACTATATTTGACCAGTAGATATGTATATAAATCAGCAACCACCAAAGACAGAGGACATCTATTACTAGTATTGATTCTGTACACGATAATAATAGGATGAATTTGGTATAACAAGTATAATTTACATCTGTCCAATTTTCATATTAAAAATTAGAACACAAACAGAAATTAACACAAAAATCAAGAAAACCTAATTGAAGTGTGATACAAATGTTATAACAATGAGAAATCATAGTAGAAAAATCATCCAAGTAAAACAGATCAACACACTGCAAACTCGTGTTGTATAAATATCACATAAATTTTCTTGGACAAGATAGAGCTTACAAAATATAATTGCCTTCACATGACAAGAGTGACATAGAAACTAAGAAAGAAGCTACAAAAGAAGCCACAACCAACCAGAGAAAAATTATTCAGTCAAAAGCAATAGTTGAGTAAAGAATAAATTATTAGTAACAAAAAAAACTTCTGCCAATTTAAACATTATAAAGTTATTTTTAAATGTGAAAACATCTTCAAAGGTATACCTGATCTCTTGTTCAGAGATGATGTGAATGCAGCAGGGCCAACAGCACTTGATGGTCCCCTAGTCTTCCTCCATTTCAAAGTAATTGAAAATGCTCCCACCAAAACCAGCAAGAGTACAAAGGAAGATAAAGCAATGATGATAATGGTCCTGAGATTCATTTTCTGGTTCTTGCTCACAAAGTTGGCACTGACAGGAAGAATGCCATCGACACTTTGACTGGGACCACTCCCAACTAAAGATCCATATGGAGGCGATGATGGCATTCCTGATACCAACACCTTTAGACTCAAACAGAAACAAGATACCAGTAAAGTAAAATGTTATGAGGAGAAACGACTACCTGGATAAGTAATGTTCACAACAGAATAGTCACCAAAAAGGCTCCTATTTAGAGGAACCTTC